TTATTAGTTTTGTTGTAAAAGTAGTGATTTTGAGTCACGAATGTTTAATTTGTATTTAGTTTCAGTGAAAGTTTGTTCTCAACTGTTTGTTATGAGTGCTAATTAGCCGTTGAATATATGCTTAATTTAAGCGTTTTATTTAAAACAGTACTAAAATGTAGTTTTGTTTTGATTGAATATCTATTGTTAAATTGATTAATAATCAATGATTATAAGGAAGAGATGGTAGAGTAATGTAGAGAAATGTTTTATTTTGGGCAAAGGGTTGTCAACGAACCATAAGAATAGTGTAAATGGAAATATTAACATAACTTATTGTTGAAATAATGATATTCAATGTGATTAAAATTACTGCAAATAAAACACCAATTTATCATTTGATGAAAATTTGATAGCCTTTTAACAAGAGATAGGATTATAATTTATAAATATAATTATTACCGGTAATTAGTTTTTAAAATGTATCTCTCTCTCTCTCTCTCTCTCTCTCTCTCTCTCTCTCTCTCATAATAATAATAATGAAAATAGTTGTTTTAATTTTAATTGCCGTTAGAATTTAGAATTGCATTTATTTTCTGATATATTTTAAAATTAAATCTTAATATAAGTCTTAGTTTTCAATGAGGTTTCGATTTTTAAATTGATTGTTAAGAATTAAATTCTGTGTTATAATTATAATAAGAAGTGTTGTCTTAAGTGCTGTTTTCTATTTCCCCAAATTTAATGCCCAATAAAATACAGCAAATCTTGTTTTGCGTAAAAACTCATTAAATTTAATGTTTGTTTTTTAGACACGAAAGGCTCGAAGAAACCATGAGAGACGAGGGGTTGACTGAAGAACAGGTAAACAATGCTTCACTTAATAGCGTTTATATTTATTTAAATGTAAATTTTATTTGAAATGAAATTCAGAAACAAGAGAAACGCGTTCAGCACGCGATCAAAGAGACAGAGTTTCTCAGACTTAAGAGATCCCGTTTAGGAGTCGAAGACTTTGAACCGTTAAAAGTGATCGGAAGGGGAGCTTTTGGAGAGGGTATGTGTTTTGGACGCAACATTTGTCAATAAACAGTAATCTTAATGAATGTAATGATTGTTTGGATGTGTAGTGCGTTTGGTGCAGAAGAAGGACACGGGACACGTCTACGCCATGAAAATACTGCGCAAAGCGGATATGTTGGAGAAGGAACAGGTGGCGCACGTCAGGGCTGAGCGCGACATTCTCGTCGAAGCCGACCATCAATGGGTCGTCAAAATGTATTATAGTTTTCAGGACGTTATGAATCTGTACCTCATTATGGAAGTGAGTATTGAATTAATGAATTGTTTGCACACATGTCTAACTCATACTAATGTATTGAACAGTTCCTTCCGGGCGGTGATATGATGACACTCCTCATGAAGAAGGACACACTCACCGAAGAATGCACTCAATTCTATATCGCGGAGACAGCGCTGGCCATCGATTCAATTCATAAATTAGGATTTATTCATCGAGATATTAAACCCGATAATCTGTTGTTAGACGCGAGAGTGAGTCCATTTGTTATTCATTATAATTGGTTTAATTATTTGTCTAATCTGTGAAAATGTGATTTTGATGGCAATTTAGGGACACATAAAACTGTCCGACTTTGGACTCTGCACTGGCCTTAAGAAATCACATCGAACTGAGTTTTACAGAGACTTGTCTCAAGCAAAACCCAGTGATTTCACATCAAATCCGATGGACTCTAAACGCAGAGCCGAGAGTTGGAAGAAGAATAGGAGACAATTGGCGTACTCTACAGTTGGAACACCTGATTATATTGCGCCCGAAGTTTTCATGCAAACCGGTTATGTTTCGAGGTATGTCTCATTGTTTACCACTTAATTGTTGAGTAATTTATTAATGCTTTAAATTAATGTATTTGAAGTGCCGACTGGTGGTCACTGGGAGTCATAATGTATGAGATGCTTATCGGATACCCACCGTTCTGTTCAGAGACACCGCAGGAGACCTATAGAAAAGTGATGAACTGGAGGGACACTCTTGTCTTCCCGCCCGAAGTGCCCATTAGTAATGAGTCCAGAGATATGATTCAACGGTTCTGCGCGGAGGCCGACAAACGTATCGGTTCTGGCGCTGGTATTGAAGAGATTAAAGAGCACTCATTCTTCAAAGGCGTTGATTGGGAACACATTCGGTAATTATATTCAACGACGTCTCAAGTATTTAACGATTGTTTAACTCTTTGTTTGTCATATGAATGTGTAGTGAAAGGCCGGCCGCTATAGCAGTGGAAGTGAAATCGATTGACGACACCTCTAATTTCGATGACTTCCCTGATGTTGATCTCAAAATACGTAAGTTTATTGA